TTAATTAAGTCCACAATTTTTTAAAACTATCAATTTAGTACCTTAACTATTCAATTTTTTATCAATTTTAATCCGTCTGGCCAAATTGCCAGCTAAATCTTACTGGAAACTTTTAATTCACTTTATTTTGTTTAATCACAAGGGCAATATAATCTTTCTATGTTAAAACGAAAAAGTCATCGCCACCAAAATGGCGATGAGATTCCTAGCACTCTTCGCTCTATGTTCCCTTGCACACCAGCGTTGCCACGTTTGCAACGTTTCGGTTATGGCGATGGGTGAGAAAGTAGAGCATGTTCTCCAGGACCTGCTCTGGGCACGAGCGGACGTAATAGTGGTTTCCGGCGTCGTTGACAGCATAACCGTTGCTACGCTTATTAGCACCATCGTCGTCCCAATATCTGAATAAAAAAAATAAGACATCGGCACACCATTTTTGAGCAGACATCAACACCCATTCTACTATGATCTTAGCACTAAAATCACTACTTCTAAGGGTGTGTTTGGTTGGTGGGTTTTGTACCTAAGAATGGGTATGAAAGTGATTGTTGTTGTTTGGTTAATAGGTTTTTAGAACACTACTATGGGTTTCGAATACCTCATCAATTGAAAAACTCATACCCAAAAAAAATAAGGGTTTCATTCCCTTATTCATTCTCAAGCACTACTATTAGTAACCATTCTCATTCCACCCTACTACCAAACATGTTAAATACTTTCACCAAAACCCATTACCATTACTAAGTATTTGATACCCATTCCGATTCCGATTCCTATGTGCGAACCAAACACACCCTAAGGGGGCGTTTGGTTCAGGTTATATTATATAACCAAGGGAATGTGACATTCCCGAGCTTACATTCCTATGTTTGGTTCATTTTCTCTGAGGGAATATAACATTCCCAGGGAATGTAACATTCCCTCCACATAGGATTTTGAAGGGAATGTGATTCCCTTCATTTTGTTAGGTAATGTAAGATAACCTTGCATATTTATGAATTTTGTCATTTTAATTCTAATTATTTAAAGATATATATTTTATGTTAGCTTATTATTATTATTAATATGATACCGTTATCTTATTTATTTAATTTAATGATTAAATTTATTAAAATATATGAAAATATGTTAAGGATATTAGATATATATATATATATATATATATATATATATATATATATATATATATATATATATATATATATATAAAGATAACCCTAAACCAAACATGATAATATTACATACCTCAATTTTAACCAAACACGGGAATCTAACATTCCCAGTAATCTAACATTCCCAGCAATCTAACATTCCCTAAGGTAATCTTACATTCCCTAAGGTAATCTTACATTCCCTAAGGTAATCTAACATTCCGTGAACCAAACGGCCCCTAAGTTCTAACTCAAGAAACGTTCTTCTTCACCCCAGATTCAATGATTCATCAACAATATTCCTAGAGTGTACTTGGAAAACTATATAAACAACTAAGGGTGTGTTTGGTTGATGGGTTTTGCCCATAGGAATGAGTATGAAAGTGATTGTTATTGTTTGGTTGATAGGTTTTTAGAACACTACTATGAGTTTCGAATACCTCATGAATTGAAAACCCCATACCCAAATAAAATAAGGGTTTCATTCCCTTATTCATTCTCAAGCACTACTATTATTAACCATTCTCATTCCACCTTTACTACCACACATGTTAAATACTTTCAACAAAACCCATTACCATTACCAAGTATTTGATACCTATTCCGATTCCGATTCCCATGTGCGAACCAAACACACCCTAACTAAATCAAAACCAAATATTCATAGTACTGCCCAGACAATAAATGATTAAATATGGTCCTTTTTACATCATGAGTGGTTTTAGACTGAAAGTAAACAGGTTCAACGCAAGCTGAGTTGTGTGTAACTTGGAGGAAGCATTGGTTCTTATTTTAAGAAACTAGTTTTTTACGCGCATTGCGCAATTGGGATAATGCCCAATGCTTTTTTTTTTTTTTTTAAATAAGTACTTTAAAGTATATTAAGGCAGGATTATATTGAAATTGTTCATGCATAAATAATTGAAGGTTGAATTTGCGTATTTAAATAGGTAATTCTTCTCTCAAAGGTTGAGTCCCCAACCCCAAGGACCCCCCACAATCCGACCCGACAGAGCATTGTGGGAAGTTGTAAATCACGGTGAGTCAATGGTTCAGCAGACAGGGCCAAATGCTGATACGCACAAAGGAATTTGCCCACTTTGGACATAATTCCCGCACTGCCGCCGCCGAGGTTCAAACCTTGGTCTCTTCTCCCAAATACTACCCACTAAACCATTGAGCTAAGCCCGTGCGGGTTAAATAGGTAATTCTAAGTTTACAAATGCAAGATAATATAGTCAAGATTGATTATAATTGTCAATAAAATAATTGTATAGGTATGGTTGAAACCAAATACGGAACATAAGGGAGAACAAATAAAAATTAGGGCATAAAATATTAAATATATACTAATATTGTTTGAGGAGATTCCGACATTAGGATTTGTGGCTAAGTTCTATTAAGACTTTAATATTAGAATTAGATTAATGGTGTAGTTATAATTCTATATTAGACTTTAATATTAGAATTAGACTAACGGAAAAGTTAAATGGATAATCATATAATTAAGGATAAATAAGAAAATCTTAAAAGAAAAAAATTAAAACCTGAACAATATGAACCATTCATTTGATTTAATAATTTGGCGGTCATTTTTTCTACCCAATGTTAATAATTAAATAAATTCGCTGGTCAAATCCGATAGTATAATCCGCTAACGCTAACCACTAACTGCTGATTGTCAAACAAGGACATTGCGAGGTAGTTCTCACTTCAATTTGTTGTGTGATTTGAATACTCTCTTTGTTACAAAATCTCTCAAGTAGTTAATATGGTTGGCTTTATTAATTATATTTTTTTAATTTTTTCATGGTATTAATAAAATACTTGGTAAATAAATATATAGCATTATTTTGTATTATAATTTTGATATTTAATTAGAAAAATAGTGCACAAAAAAGATAATAGATAATATAGTGAATATAATCAATTGATGAATTTGAATGTAAAAATTTTTACATTTGAGAAAAATAAAGACAATATAACTAATGAAAATATTTCTTTTAATTAATTTATTGATAATTAATAATTTTTTTTTCATTGAATAAAGACATTGTAAAGATAATGTAGCGAATATAATCAATTAATAAATTTGAATATAAAGAATTTTTATATTGAAGAAAAAGAAAGACAATATAACTAATAAAATTATTTCTCTTATTTAATTTATTGATAATGAATAATTTTTTTCTTTTTTTGAATAAAGGCATTGTGGACACATAATTCTAAATTAAAGAAATGCATATGTATTATTTTTTGTTGTAACTACTAAATTATTATTTATGCCAACTTTGATTAGGATGAGGTTCGAACCTAAGACCTTTTTTTTATTGAAATCAATGAGTAAGTTAACGGTGAACTAACGACAATTCTTAAAATTTTAACGGAATTAGTAACGGTGGGTGGGTATTTTAAGAAATTTTAGTGTAAAATTTAAATCTCATCAATCTTTTAATCAATCTGAGCCATTCATTTGATTAAAATCTGTGACCGCTATTTTTTCTACCCATTATAGGCCTAACTCTCTTGGGCTCTTATTAGTATAGTAGATATAGTAGATAGTAGATATCTCGAAATCGGATAGGTGAATAGTGAAATTTGACCAGATTAATTAAAATTAAATATTTAAGGTACTAAATTGATAATTTTAAAAATTGTGAATACACTTAATAATACTTCAATAGTTATATGATAAAAATTGAAATTATCAATCTTTGCTAATGGACAAATGCTGACAACTAACGTTGCTTGACTTGAATTTACGTGTCCTGATATTTTATTTTATTTGTTGTTTTTTTTTTTGAAACCAAAAGAGAGGGGAACAAAAAACCAAATTTTATGTTCCAAACAAATGAACAATGGTAATAACAACAAAATGTGAACATTTTACGAGTAGTTATAAACAAAAATTTATGGAGCAGGATACTGTTGATCTTGCGGTCAATAATTGAATGGGCCACAATGTTGTCGTTATTGGGCCACGGATAATTACCTTCCCCAATACGCAAAACTACAAATAAATAATTGAAGTATTTGAAGGTCAAGAGTTGAATATGTATGTATACTTTATTATTGAATTTATCAAATAGATCTTTTTAAAAAAATAATTTACCAATTATTAAATAAGAATATAATTTACTGTATACTTTTAGTACAAGAAAACACAGACTTACTTACAACCTTCTTTATAAGTAACATGTATTGAATTTTTTACTTAATAAGTCATTGAATTACTATCTTATCGACCACATTATGTGATGACTGTCAACGAACCTCCATTTTATAAGTTGTTGGATTATTGACCCTATTTAGTAATATAGTTAGTTTATCAGTCAATTTTAACATCACGATTAATTGTTTGATTTAATTAAACAACCAAATATATGTTTGATTAATTAGTTTTTTGTAATAACTTATTGGTCTAAAACACTAAATTAAAAGAACTGCTCAAAGTGATTTTTCTGATAAACTTTTTGAAAAAGTCATTTTACATGTAATCAACTATCAGCTAACATCTAATTTGCCAAATATATTTCTATAATTAGCTAATGTTATTAATTACTCAATCCACTAACCCAATCAATTAACAATTATTTACCAAACACCCTTAATTATCTTTCCATTATTTTATCGCACCGATGCTGGGACTTGGGAGCAAAATAATTTTGGCGTGGGCAACGGAAAAAACACAAAAAACGCGGTAAATTAACGGTCAAAATCCATCTAACCGGGGAATCCAACGGTTCGCATAATTTCTCCGGCCTATCCCAGCTTCACATTCATTGCGTATAAATAAGCGTTTTGTATCTGTACTTGAATTTGTCTTTCTCCACTCTCCTTTTATCCAAAATGGCCGCCGTGGAAAGTCTCCGGCCGGTAGTTCACGGCCGGATTTCCTTAAATTGGCACTATAATCCTAAGTACTTCTACAGACAAAGCGTACTCTCCTACAATCGGCAAGTGTTTTGGTGCGGAAATTCGATTCGTTTCGTGGTTAATACTACGTCGTTTCGTGCTCAGCTCAGGATTTGTAAGAACTTTCACGGGTCGGATCTTCCCGGACCCGTTCCGAGACGTCTGAGATTTAGCGGTGTTAGAGTTGAAGCGAAAAGTTCCTGTGAACAGGACACTGATTCAACAGAAACGAATGAAGCTACAACGACGACGACGGAGAGCAAAACGGCGCCGGGTTCGGGTCCCGGGTCGGGTTCCGGCCCGTCTAGGAAAGAGAAGCAAGGGAAAGAGAGCTGGCTGTGGTCGAAGCGCGGGAAATGGCGGTTGGAACCGATTGTTCAGGCGCGAGAGATGGGGGTTTTGTTGTTGCAATTGGGAATCGTGATGTTCGTAATGAGGCTGCTCCGGCCCGGGCTTCCGTTACCCGGGACGGAGCCGAGGGCTCCGGCGACGTTTGTGAGCGTCCCGTACAGTGAGTTCCTGAGCAAGATTAACAGCAACCAGGTACAGAAGGTTGAGGTCGATGGCGTCCATGTCATGTTCAAGCTGAAGACTGAAGCGATGAGTGGCTCAGTGGAGAGTGACGTCAGCAGTAGGCTGCAGGATTCTGAGTTCGCGCTAAGGAGTGTTAATCCTACCAGGAGGATTGTCTACACTACGACGAGGCCGAGCGATATCAAGACTCCGTATGAGAAGATGCTGGAGAACAGTGTGGAGTTTGGGTCACCGGATAAGCGCTCTGGCAGCTTGTTGAACTTTGCATTGGTAATCATTTATTTCCAACTTTTGATGAATCTTAGACGCCGGAATGATTATAATTTATAATCCTTACTTTGTTTTCTTACTATTATACAGAAGAAATATGTTGCCCTAGTCTAATGAATTACTTCATTACTAAAAATTCCAACTTATTTTGCAAGAGTCCACTCTCACTATTTGTTCAGAGTTTCAATGCACTCCATCTGTGTAGCTGTTTGTCATGAATTGTCTTGAATCATTTAGGCTTTCATCAAACCCTTTATTTTTTAATCCTTTTCCAGATAGCTCTGTTCCATATTGCTGTCCTAGCAGGTCTTCTACATCGGTTCCCATTGAGCTTTTCTCCGGTATGCCACCATTTCATTTATATGGTAATTCAAGCTTTTCTGTAAATGTTTGCATGATTATTGTGTCATATTTGCAGCATTCTGCAGCTGGTCGGCTCAGGGACCGCAAGCCTGGAAGTTCTAATGGAGCAAAAGTCTCTGAACAAGGTGAAACTGTGACGTTTTCAGATGTTGCGGGTGTTGATGAGGCCAAGGAGGAGCTAGAAGAAATAGTGGTATGCAGACTTGTAACATAATTTCTGCACAACTTCATTCACATTTTGTTGAATCCTTATTCATTACTCATTTATGGCACTCCTTACCTGCTATTGTCTCTTGCCCAGGAATTCCTTAGGAATCCAGACAAGTATACCCGACTTGGTGCACGCCCTCCACGTGGTGTTCTCCTTGTGAGTTTCAAAATCTAATACAGTTAATTCACCATACCAATTTAAGTGGATTTTCACAACTAGAATGTTTCTGCCTGTTTAACATTATATGCTGTTACTATCTTTTACAAAGTTACTTGAAAAATCAATTTAGGTTTAATTACTATAGAAAGGCACAAGGAGATGGTAAATGGGATTAGTCATGGAAGATAGACAGACGGCTACCTGCATGTTCTGATTTGCATTTTTTGAACATTTAAAACAGATTTAAGAAGTATACTCATTAGTTTGGCTGTTAGCAATCATTTTGATGAAACTGAATGCATTACACCTTCAGGGGACATAATAAATCAATAAATCAAGTATTGTGGCCTCAATTCTAACCTTATATAATTTTAAAGAAACCTACAACTGCATTTTTCTATCTCTTCACTTTCCTTGATTGTATACATTGTTAAGTGCAAACCTGATTTTTTACAGGTGGGCCAACCTGGGACAGGTAAGACACTGTTGGCAAAAGCAGTTGCAGGGGAAGCTGAGGTTCCCTTCATTAGTTGTTCTGCAAGTGAATTTGTAGAACTGTATGTTGGCATGGGAGCATCCCGTGTTAGGGACCTTTTTGCTCGGGCAAAGAAAGAGGCACCTTCAATTATTTTTATAGATGAGGTCTCCCCCATTTTTCTTCCCAGATAGAGATAGAGATAGGGAAACCGTAATATCTTTATGAGCATCATTTCCATTTTCTAAGGTCCTGACAGAAAAAAGTGCTTTTTATTTTCTGGATGCCAGATTGATGCTGTGGCAAAGAGCCGTGATGGTAGATTCCGTGTGGCAAGCAATGATGAAAGAGAGCAGACACTGAACCAGCTGCTTACAGTAAGAGGCTCAGTATACTAGTTACAGTAATTTTATTTTTAAAATTTTATTTTATCCTTTTTACTTGGATGGGTTTGATATTAAAAAATAATGCAGGAAATGGATGGATTTGATAGTAACTCTGCTGTAATAGTTCTTGGAGCTACCAACCGCTCTGACGTATTAGACCCTGCTCTCCGCCGACCTGGAAGATTTGATCGTGTGGTTATGGTCTGTATCCATATTCTCTCACATTAGAACATTGTGTCTGTAAGCGTTGAAATTTTCCCTCCATGTTGCATTGACTTGAGCGTGGGTGGTGGGTATTGGTCTGGATCTAGAGATTAAATTTGTCAAATTTTGAATGGAAAGATACAGTTCCTCTATGGGAAATGGTTAGAAGAATAGATATGAGTACTTGGGCATGACAAAAATTAAGGTGGCTAGTCTCTAGAAGACTAGAAGTCTAGAATTAATGAGCAGTAAGCACAAGTGGCACTGCCCTAATACCTAAGAGGTCTAATAATATTTCTGTATTAACCTTATCTTGTTAAATTATCCAAATATGGAGTATTAAATATTTTAATTGGAGAATTGCAGCCAAATAGAAGAACTTAAAATCATTATTGGCTTTAGGATTGATGGTCACTATTGCAATATTAGCTCTATCAAAATTCTCTTGGGACAAGTTTGTTAAATATTAAAAAAAGAGAGGAGCACCCAAAAATTACTGGGAAGGATCCAACAAAGATCCAGAACCCATGCCATTGTCAGATCCTCTCAACACAGATGCTACTGGGTGTTTTGGAGTGTGTATAACAGAGATTTACCTTCTAATTTCTCTAATGATATATTAGTTTATCATAGGTTGAAGCACCAGATCGGACTGGAAGAGAATCTATTCTGAAAGTACATGCGTCCAAGAAGGAACTTCCTCTTGCACAAGACGTTGATCTTGGTGACATTGCATCTATGACAACTGGTTTCACTGGGTATTTATTCTCCTCTGACTTTTTGGAACCTGACCTTTCCTCTTTATTTATGGTATTATGAATATAAGTGTCATTGTTTACCTGGGATTTTGTGCAGGGCAGACCTTGCAAATTTGGTCAACGAAGCCGCTTTGTTGGCAGGAAGGCAGACTAAGCTTCTTGTTGAAAAAATTGATTTCATTCAAGCAGTAGAGCGATCAATTGCGGTCTCTCTCTCTGCACTAAATTTATTTTTACAAGTTCTCTATGTCTTTTTCTTCAATATTGTTTACCATATGTACTAAATAAATTAAACTAGGAGGTCTCAATGAATTGCGCTTTTAATGCTTCAGGGAATAGAAAAGAAGAATGCGAAATTGCAGGGCAATGAGAAAGCTGTAGTTGCACGTCATGAAGTTGGTCATGCAGTAGTAGGGACTGCCGTTGCAAATCTTCTTCCTGGGCAAGCACGGGTCAAGGTAATAGCCCTATGCAGTATGCACTATGTACTCTACATGGTTTCATGGATTTTTCCTCCTTGCATGTCTACATATTTAATGCTTTGCTTATCAATTGCCTTCTGGTACAATAACTTGTCAAAATACTATTTTGACAAGTGACAAAAAACCAGAATTTTTCGGAGGGGTTACTTGTCAAATTTGTTAAAGAACTTGAATTGCTTGCCTTTTTCTTTTCTAGAAAACTAATCTTCCAGAGTATGACTATATTACTTAGTGGTACATTGATAATAACTGTTTTGATTTAGCAGAAGCTAAGCATTTTACCTAGATCTGGAGGAGCCTTAGGATTTACATATATTCCTCCAACCAACGAGGATAGGTATTTGCTGTTTGTGGATGAATTACGTGGGCGCTTGGTTACTCTTCTTGGTGGACGTGCAGCAGAAGAAGTTATGTACTCCGGACGTGTTTCCACTGGTGCACTTGATGATATACGGCGTGCAACAGACATGGCCTACAAGGCAGTCGCTGAATATGGTCTTAATGAGACCATAGGTCCTGTTTCATTGGCAACTCTTTCTAGTGGTGGGATGGATGATGCAGGTTCCATGCCCTGGGGAAGGGACCAGGTCTTCCTGCCATCTCCTGTCCCTGTCATCTTTTAGCACAACCTTTCTTTATGTTCATATCTTGTTAACATAGAATTTAAAGATAACTGGTTTTACATTATAACTCCACAGGGGCATCTTGTTGATCTTGTTCAAAGAGAGGTCACATCATTGCTACAATCGGCACTTGTTGTAGCACTCGCTGTTGTGCGTGCCAATCCCACTGTACTGGAGGGGCTTGGTGCACGGTTGGAAGGTATGTACTCTCTTTTTTTATGTCTCTGTTAAGAGTCCCACATTAAAAAAAATAAGAGAGTATATATGGATTTTTAAGGCCATGGGTTAGATTAGTTAATTGATTGAATTCAGTCTTTCCAATCTTAGATTATTACAGTCTCAATGCTCATTAGTAGGTTTATTGCCTCTATTTTCGCCTTTGTTTCTACGATAGATCTGACCTCGTATGAGCGGAAGCGTAGCCGTGTAGATCTCCAGCCAACGGTAGACCGTTAGCCATTATTTATTTGCCTCATACCTGATTCAGAACCCTAGATGGTATATTGGTGTCTACTGAGCAGTATGAGTACCGTAACTGAATGTGCTAACATCAAGTCTACTGAGCAGTATGAGTACCGTAACTGAATGTGCTAACATCAATCATCCTGTATCCCATCAATCCAGGATTATATTAGGCACAGAGTTTGGTGGACTAACAAGGCTCTAATATATAATATATATTATTAGGGAAAATCTTACATGTTTAACTAGTGGCTTTGTGAAATTATAGAACTTAGTCTTCACAAACTTCCTCTCATGCAGAGAAAGAGAAGGTTGAAGGCGAGGAACTGCAAGAATGGTTAAAGTTGGTTGTTGCTCCAGCAGAACTGACATATTTCATCAGAGGCAAGCAAGGTTCTATCCTTCCGCTGCAACCGACTTCTGGATGACAGTTTATACTTGCTTTTGCCAAATGACACTTGGAAGTTCCACTCTGGCACACCGTCTTAGTTTTTAAGCAGATAAAAAAACCTAATATGCTGCAAGACAGGCAGTGCTTTGTGGCAGCACTTCCACGCTGTATAGCTTTCCGGGTAATTGTTTTTCTCCTAACATCAATCTCTGAGCTTTTTTGTAAACCATGGTCATCATCTGAATAGTTCAAGACAACGGTTGAAGGGTCTAACGGGAAGGCAAGAGATTGATTTTCTCAGGTACTTTACTAAGATGATTTCTTTTTCTTGTACATGTAGTATTCGCTGATTATACGTGTAAAATATATCACCAACATTTGGCACAACATTTCGGTTTATATATATAGTTCAAATATAAGTTGCATTATGTGAACTGCTTGTATTTTTTTTTTTCCCTTTGATATTGTGGACTGATGTCCTTGTGCAAGAGGGCCATAGAAGGATAGATATTTTTAGGAACAAGTGAAGTACATATCAGTGTTGCTTTCAGGAAATAGCAGCTTGTAAAATATCTTTGGCTGGGTGCCTCTACTTTTGATGTTGATTTTGATTACTTTTTGGAGCTTAGTGCCAAAGTGGAAGAAGTCTTCCACTAACATCTCATCCCTCATGATAGGGGAAGGAAAAAAACCGTCTTAAGCTGGGGATAATTCTAACCAAGTTGGTACAGCTATTGACTTGGTTAACCAACTAACCATAAGGTTTCAAGTTCGACTCTTAGAGTCTTAGTAGGAGTGGACTATTGGCCTTCTTGAATTGAGCCGGTCAATTATGAACAACTTAAAATTGATTTACGTTCTTGTGGTCCTTTGTTGAATAGAGTCACAAATCATGTATACTCTTTAGTAATGATTATGAGTTTCTTTCGTTACAAAAAAAATGTAATGTTATTATGTATTTGATGTACTACAACTTCTATTTAGGGAATAAGGACATGGATTAAGAAACACTAAAGAAGCAAAAAGATAAGATAAAACAAGAAGTGAAAATGACATGTAAAAGACACAAGGAATGAAAATTAAAGACAAAAGGTTTTTCATTTTTTTTTTTGTGTGTGTGTGTGTGTGTGTAAAAGTATGGGATTATTGCAATAGTGTTGAATAGTAGTGGGCATTAAAGGTTAGATTGGGTTTGATTTGAAATTATCTAAAACATTTTTTTTATAACCCTGTAAGTAAATTAAAAATCAAATTCAGATACAATTTTATAGTAAATGAAATTCAATTTAGGCAATAATTTCAAATAATGATGAGATTCGAAAAATCAGTATGTTGATAATTTGCGTTTCAAGTTGTAATTCTTGGATAGCATTAAGTTTGTGAGATTGACCATGAATGTAATAATATTCCATAGAATAGAATTCCATTGAATTGAGTAATTCATTTGCAATAGTCATTCCCAAGACCTCGGTATTCGCTATTCATGTGATTGGCTAAATTTTTATAAAAATTTTACTACATGACTCCTCATAAATCTTATTTTCTAAATTTTACTCACTGATGTAGTGACATCAATATTTTGTATGTATGAAATTAAGAGTAAAAAAATAAGAATACACATACATTTTTCTTTTTATAATATCAAAAATACCTTAGTGCATACTCCGTATTATTTATTTAGAAAAAGGGTACAAAAGTCATCCAACTATTGCTAACATTGCATTAGGCCCTCGGTACTTTGTCCACTCCCTATTCTCTCTTATGACTCTCTTTCTTTCAGGCAAATTAAAAGCTAACACGTGAAAAATTCATTGATCATGCTCTTACACACACATAAAAAATGCACAAAAGAGTCCTCGGCCCGGAGCTTAGCGTAGTGGTTCGTCAGGTGACTTGATGTCACAACTGAAGATAGCTGTATGAAGGTTGAATTTCTTGTGCACGCATAAAAATTAAGGTTTGACCGGTAGATTAATTGTGCGACTTGCAATTTATCAAAAAAAAAAAAAAAATCGCCGAGGAGTCTAGTGTAATTTAGTATCCAGTTAGGGGCCAAAGTGTTACTATAAAAAACTTCGGGGGTTCCTGCGAAATTACCCCTTAATATCCGAGTCAAACCAAAAATAACGTTTCAAATTTCTGAGAAAATATCCCACAAAAAGAAGTGCCACGTCAGGTGCTGCCTGCTTTTCCTCAACGCCCTGCAAACGCCTTTTCTCTTTCTATAAATCTTCTCAACCCTCCACTCATCACTCATTTCGTCTGTAATCTCCTCGAAGATTGAAGAGATAAGAAAAAAGAGGTAAAGCTTCCATTTTTGAGGTCCCTATGCTCTCTCCTCACTCTTCTTTCTAGCCTCTTCAAGATTCACTTTTCTTTTTGTAACCTGCGGTAAAGTTTGCATTTTTTTTTTTCTCTGGGATGATCGTTTGAAAAGGCTTCTGTGCTTTGTTGGGTATGAGGATGTGGATTCTTGGGTAGAAGTAGAATCCTGCAGAATATATCAATGTAGGCTGGTTGAGGTCCCGGGGTTCTTTTCATGTTTAGTAAAAGCATGCATTTTTGAACATATAAATAATTAAATAGCACAGAATGTGTTTGAAAGTTTGTTTCAGTGATGTCCAGAATAGCAGTTTTTTTGCCATTTGTTGCCTAGATTATTCATGGTCTTTTGGGTACTAGGAGGATGTAGAATCTTGGGTAGGATCCTACTGACTGTATCAGTGTAGGCTGGTTCTTTTCATGTTTAGTAAAAATATATGCCTTTTTGAACATATAAATAGCTCAGAATCTGTTTGAAATTTTGTTTCAGTGATGCCCAGAATTGCAGTTTTTTGCCATTTGTTTCCTAGAATGTTCAAGTTATACTCCCTTCCTCGGAAGTTTTTATGAGAACCTTTGTTTGTTCTTTTGGGAATTCCTTTATAGTAACCCAGCATGTGTTGATTTGAATTATGTGCACAAATTAGCAGTTCTGAATTGTATTTTGATTTTGCTGCTTTCTGTTCATGTTGGCAGGATAAAAGATGGCATCTATGCAGACTGCTTTGACTTCAATTGTGTGCAAAAATGTGAGCAACTCTGCCTTTCTGCCTGGGTTTCATTTGCCTGGGCATGTTGCTGGTTTGTGGAGAAAGGATATGTGTCCCAATTCATTTTCAGGTCCCAGAGCAACCTTAACTTTCGACCCACCAACTGACAATAATGCTAATGCCAAATCTAAGCAAAGGAAGAACACTGTTGATCCTAATGCTCCAGATTTTCTTCCACTTCCATCATTTGAAGAGTGCTTTCCAAAGAGCTCAAAAGAGCAAAAGTATTCCTTAAGCTTTATCCTCTTGAATCTTTCCTTCCTAGTGTGGTTTTTCAGCTATTGCTTGAACCATTAGATGTGACTTTTTTTCAGGGTGGTTGTTCATGAGCAATCTGGTCATGTTCTCAAAGTCCCATTTAGGCGCATCCACCTTACCGGGGATGAACCCCATTTCGACACCTATGATACTAGTGGACCTCAGGATGTAAACCCCCGTGTTGGTATGAATATCATCTGAAGTTCCTGTCGCTATACTCCCTATTGATGTTTTGCTATATCATGCATCTACTTAAACTTTGAAATGGTATTGTTCGAACAGGACTCCCCAAGTTGCGAAAGGAGTGGATTGACAGGAGGGAGAAGTTGGGTGGACCAAGGTACACTCAAATGTTCTATGCTAAACAGGGAATCATAACTGAGGAGATGGCATTCTGTGCTGCTCGTGAGCAGCTTGACCCGGAGTTTGTGCGATCGGAGGTTGCCCGGGGACGTGCTATCATTCCTTCGAACAAAAAACACTTGGAGCTGGAGCCTATGATTGTAGGAAGAAACTTCCTTGTGAAAGTGAATGCTAACATTGGAAATTCAGCTGTTGTGAGTTCCATTGAGGAGGAAGTACACAAGCTCCAATGGGCAACGATGTGGGGTGCAGATACAATCATGGATCTCTCTACAGGTCGTCACATCCATGAAACTCGTGAATGGATCTTGCGTAACTCTGCTGTACCGGTTGGGACTGTGCCAATCTACCAAGCATTGGAAAAAGTGAATGGCATTGCTGAGAACCTGTCTTGGGAAGTTTTCAGAGACACGTTGATCGAACAAGCTGAGCAAGGCGTTGATTACTTCACCATCCATGCTGGAGTCCTGCTTCGCTACATCCCCTTAACTGCAAAGCGAATGACTGGAATTGTTTCCCGGGGAGGCTCCATACACGCAAAGTGGTGCTTAGCTTATCACAAGGAGAACTTTGCTTATGAGCATTGGGATGACATACTAGACATATGCAATCAGTATGATATATCTTTATCAATTGGCGATGGGCTGAGGCCTGGGTCCATTTATGATGCGAATGACACTGCTCAATTTGCTGAACTCTTAACTCAAGGAGAATTGACTCGCAGAGCTTGGGAGAAGGATGTACAGGTTAGAAAATTTGCGATATCACCTAAACCGTCTTTTTATTTCCAACTTTAGAGAGAATGCCAAATTTGCAGCTAGTAAGTAACATGCTATTCTTTATTCCAGGTTATGAATGAAGGACCTGGACATGTTCCGATGCACAAGATTCCCGAGAACATGCAGAAACAACTGGAGTGGTGTAACGAAGCACCATTCTACACTCTTGGACCTCTCACAACTGACATAGCTCCCGGATATGATCACATAACCTCAGCCATTGGAGCTGCTAATATTGGAGCACTTGGCACTGCACTGTTGTGTTATGTGACTCCAAAAGAGCATCTTGGGTTGCCTAATCGGGATGATGTGAAGGCTGGAGTTATAGCATATAAGATAGCGGCTCATGCTGCTGATCTAGCAAAAGGTCACCCTCTGGCACAAACCTGGGATGATACGCTAAGCAAGGCAAGATTTGAGTTCCGATGGATAGACCAGTTTGCTTTGTCACTCGACCCCATGACTGCCATGTCCTTCCATGATGAAACTCTACCGTCTGATGGTGCTAAAGTGGCCCATTTCTGCTCCATGTGTGGGCCTAAATTCTGTTCGATGAAGATTACTGAAGATATACGGAAGTATGCTGAGGATCACGGGTATGGAAGTGCAGAGGAAGCCATCCGACGTGGGATGGATGCTATGAGTGCTGAGTTCCAAGCTGCAAAGAAAACTGTGAGTGGTGAACAACACGGTGAGGTTGGAGGGGAAATCTATCTGCCAACAAATTACGTAAACTCTTTGAAGATCTAAAGGTGAGTGTAAAAAAAAAACTCTTTTAAGCACCATTTCTCTCATAAAATACCAAGTAATTATCTGACTGAATGTAGGGGCTTTGCAGGATGATAAGGACACATGAAGAACTAACTGGTTTGGAACTTGTATGAGACATCCAGGCAATTCAGGCCAGTCTAGCAAGAATCTCAAGATCTTCATCCCCCCATCATGATAGGTAAGTATTTACTAGTTTTGGCTAGTGTTGAATAAAAATATCTAGACAATGTCATGTTCAAGAATGTCTCTTTTTATCAGTAATGAAAACCTGTTCGTTATTCAGTACCTTCTATATCTATGTGCCTCTTTTCCACTATCATTGACATAAGAAACGCACCAGGGGTGTCTGTATCTGCTCCAGCCCTGGCTCCCTCGGCCAGGATGCTGGCTGAAACAGGCTGAGAAAGTCCCTTCGAACCTGAACAGGATAATGCCTGCGTAGGGAGCGTGCATTTCCTTTTCTCTTGTTTTCTATGTTTGCACAGGGATGGTGGAGAATTACCACAAGCCCTGGCTGGCTGGCTGGCTTGTGTTTGGCTGCACCCCTGTCTGTCTATTGTCTTCTCTCTCTACTTTACTGTATATTGTCATATCTGTTCATCGAGGTCGGGAGCAGTTAGCACCGCCATTTTCTTATCTGCCCAGTAGTAATAACTTACATTGTTTACCAATTTTGTCTTGCACATCAACACACAAACAACTGAGATTGTATGTTTCCACCAAGAACAAGAAGCACAAGTGCCTTATCTTCAGCCATTGGGAGAAAAATCAAAATCTCACCAAATAATGTGCTTCTGTTTCTTGGACACTTCAGTGGCATCATCTACAAGAATCTGGGTTTATTACCTTAATTTTCCAGTTTCTTTGGTTCCATTATAATAGGGAGGGATTGAAAGCTTAGTTCATCTTTCTCATCCAATTCACATGGATTTCGCTTTTGTGATTTTCATAAGTCAATTGAAATGGCATCTAATATTCAAGATAATAATGATTAATAAGATTTGGATTTCCTAATCCAAACTTTAACACCTTCTACACGGCAGTATTAAAAATAACCATTGGGAGAGAGGGGGTTATTAAATTTATACTCCCTCCGTCTCATTTTATGTGTCTGGTTCGGATTAACGATGTTTGACTGAATACTTTCAATTCAATTTTTCATAATATTAAGTTTAGTATTGCAAATGTAATCCTTCTATAGAGCCTAGAGGGATATTAATTCTGTCAACGTCTGAACTTGTTTAGTTCGTTCTTCCACCATAGTAAAAGAAGAAGCTTGTCATAAAGTATATGACTATGACTATTATGTTTAATTTGAATATAATAAATTTGAATTTCACACTACCTCCCCAATCTCTCTAAAACAAGTGTATACCATGTGGCACCTCTCAACCTCGCTACCATTAACAATCAGTTTTGAATCACTTTCAACCACCACCTACCGAAATTCATCTTTCCATTGCCAACTCTAGCCCTATAACCCAATTTTCAGCTTTCACAGCATTCGTGACCTAATATTAAAGGTAAATCCCTTAATTGTTGCAATCACATCCCATAGGCTTTCTTGTAGTAGCCAATAGAGCAATCTCATTAGGAGTTTATTTGAAGGTTTTTATCCACACATGGAGGAGAGAGGTCATGATTTGGAGAATAGAGGATGCTGAAAAGATAGCTATACCCAACACTAGGCGGATGAGGACTGTATGAACTTTATTAGATTCACCGTGAATACAATTGTACAAACTAAGGGAATATATACAAGAGAGAATTATTAGGGAGTCTTAGTGTGACTCAAATACACAGTCTTAATACTCCTCCTCAAGCACAAGACATATTAGTAACTTGTAGCTTATCTCTAAGAAAAGTAAACTTAGGACTAGGTAAAGTTTTGACTCAAATACAGTCTTAATACTCCTCCTCAAGCACAAGGCATATTAGTAACTTGTAGCTTATCTCTAAGAAAAGTAAACTTAGGACTAGGTAAAGTTTTTGTAAAGATGTCAGCAAGTTGATCTTTGTTGAGATAAAATTAACTTGAATGTCTTCGGAAACAACTCTGTTTCGAACAAAATGGTAGTCAATTTTTACGTGTTTGGTTCGAGCATGAAAGATTGGATTTGCACACGTATACGTAGCACCAAGATGATCACACCATAATTTTGGAACAAAGATGACACTTTGATTTCACGCAGCAATGAGACTATCCAAATTACATCAGCACAGACATCTGCTAGAGCTTTATATTCTACCTCAGTAGAAGATCTAGCAACAGTTCTTTGTTTCTTACAGACCTAAGATACAAGATTGGATCCAAGAAATACAGCAAAACCACTAGTAGATTTTCGATCTTCCGGACAGCCAGTCCAGTAAGAATTAGAGAATGCATGAAGTTCTCTTGAGATTGACTTTTTGATATGAAGACCAAAACTTACAGTCCCTTTAACATACTTCAGTACCCGTTTCAGTTGCTCCCAATGTGAAACGGTAGGAGCATGCATATGTTGACATAACAAATTAACTGCAAAGGAGAGATCGGGACGAGTTATAGTCAGGAGCATGTAAATTAATTGCAGCGCCCATGCTAGGCTCCTGTACTGAGTAGGATCATCATACAAGTCAGCACTAAATGAGACAGATTTTGAAGCTGATATAGGCGTGACTAGCTCCTTGCACTCTGCCATTCCAACACGTTTCAAGATATCATTCATATATCTCTGTTGTGATAGTAAAATACCATCATTGCATTTAATAGTTTCAATTCCAAGGAAGAATTCATGTTCTCCAAGATCCCTAATTTTGAAAGCACTAGATATTTTCGACATCAAATTAGCAACTAAATCATGATCACTCCCCATTACAAGAATATCATCAATATAGGCCAACAGATATACACAAGCAGACTCCTAAGAGTACTAAAATAGGGACACATGTGTTTTATGCTTGGAACCCAACAGATAGTAAGAATGAATGTAATCGGTTAAATCGATCTCTAGGAGCCTATTTTAAACCATATATGGAGCGTTTCAATAAGCAAACATGAGTGCGGTACATTGCATCAATATAACCATGCGGCTGTTTCATGTAAGACAGTTTCAGACAAATTTTCATTTAAGAACGCATTATGAACATCAAGATACCTAATAATCCAACCAGAGGATAAAGCCAATGATAAAAGTAACCTGACAGTAGTGGGTTTCACTACTGGGCTGAATGTATCAAAGAAGTCCTAATTAGACACTTGATTGAACCCCTTTGCTACTAATCTTTCATTGTGTATCTCAATGGAGCCATATGCCTTCCATTTAGTACGAAAGACCCACTTACACCCAATAACGTTCATACCTACCCGAGAAGGGACAAAAAACCATATTTGATTCTATAGAAGAGCATTAAACTCTTGGTCCATAACTTCACGTCATTCCGGATATTTAACTGCTTGTGTGTAACAGGTGGGATCCATAGGACAAACCTGAACTGTCAAAGCTAATGGATGAGCCTGAGACCGACTGCAAGTGCTCATCCCATGAGTCCGAGTGGTAGATTTCACAGTTTTGCCTCGTGGTAGGCCACGAGGCCTGGCAGGCTGCCCGTGCTCCACGTCCGTCTCATGCTCGGACTGTCCAAGCAGGACAGCCGACTGAGGACCGAATTGTTCCCGCGGGGCTGCACCGTCGCTGTCCGTATTTGGGACGATTGCGTGGGGCTGTCCAGGTACGGCAGTGGCGGTAGGAATGGGATGGAGAACTGACTCAGCCCACGGACTATTTTGCGATGGTTGAGGTGCCTGCAAAACATTCTTAGTAGTAAAAAGAAAAAATTGCCTCATCAAACCGCACATGTCTGCACACATAAATCTTATTAATCTGTAAGTCCACGCACCTATACACTCGGAACGACTCAGTATATCCTAAGAAAACACATGGAGACGACCGATAAGACATTTTATGACGATTGTATGGCCTCAAATAATGATAACATAGACATCCAAAGACACGAAGAAAAGAATATGACGGAAGGGAGTTATGCAACATTAAATGGGGACTCGAATTATTTAACACAATAGATTGCATCATATTGATTAAATAAACTGCAGTCTCAAAACCAAAATTCCAAAATTTATATGGAACATACGCATGAGCCAAGAGAGTTAAACCAGTTTAAACTATGTGTCTATGTTTTCGTTCAACACGACAATTTTGTTCATGAGTATAGGCACACGACTGTCTATGAGTAATTCCTAACTGAACAAAGGAATGATGCAACTTTTTATATTCAGTTCCTAGATATGTCTAGATGGCTTTAATTTTCCTATTGAAGGAACGTTCAACCATAGTACAAAACTTATCAAAGATAGCATATAGATCAGGTTTTAATTTCATGGGAAAATACCAAGTGTAACGAGAGTAATCATCTACGAAAATAACAAAATAACGAAAACAATCTATAGATAATAAGCGAGTTGGACCCCAAATATCTGTATATATTGAGTCAAGAATATTGGAATTAGATGACTCAACACGTGGCAATGGGAATCGCGCATATTTGCCAAATTGACACGCATTACACAATCTGGAATTACAACGAATAGAATTGCTAGACCTACTAACTGAACAAGACTGAAGAATACGATGTAAAACACGATGATGTGGATGTCCTCGGCGATCATGCCACACTAACGCAGATGCACGAGCGGAAAGAAACGCGGATGGAGACGGACTGGTGATAGGAAATGTGTATAAACCCCCTGAGCTACTGCCCCGTAGCAGTATTTCCTTGGTATTGATATCCTTCACAACAAAAAAAAAGATGGGTGAAACTCAAAAAACACTTTATTATCTGAAACAAATTTTTGAACAAACAATAAAGATGTAAACAATAGACAATTGAAAAGACCTAGATGGGGTTTTAAATGAAGCATGACCAACATGACTAATAGACAATGTCTTCCCATTACCAACACGTAAAGTGTCATTACCAGCATACTCTTCAGAGGTAGATAAATCTGCAATATCTGGAGTCACATGATTGGTTGCCATAGTGTCAGGGATCCATACCTGAGAGCCATTAATATCTGAACCATTGTTTTGATATGTTAAATTTGCTTGAAGTGGGGGATCATTACGGTTTTAACAAGCAAGAGCGGTGTGACCGTTGCGACCACAAATCTGGCATTTGGACTGACCACCGCTGTCGCCGTTGCCACCTCGGCCGCGACCGCCGCCGCCACTACCGCCCGCCTCTACCGCGCTGTCCATCGCCGTTGCCTTGATTCTGCCCGCCGTGACCACCGCGATTGGAGCGGCGAGACTACCCTCCTAGCTGGGCAGTGAAGACAGTCGACGATGCTCCATCGGCGCCGACACCATGAATAAATTCTTGGGCTCCAAGAAAGTCGGTCAATTTCGCGAGAGAGACAGGTTATCCGCGAACCAAGAGCGCCGCGGTTAGGTTTTGAAACTCCGACCGTAAACACCGAAAAACATATAGGTTCATCTCATCCGAGCCAACCGGTCGACCGGCCAAGGCTAGGTCTTCCGTAATAACACGAGCACGACCAATGTAATCAGCCAATGACGAATCTCCTTGACGAAGAGATTGAAGCTGGCTGAGTAGATGCAACGACCGGGCACATGAAGAGGAGGCCAGTGACTGCTCTATCAACTCCCAAACCTCCCGTGACGTCCGACGTCCAACGACGAGGTGCATGACTTCCTCTAAGAGAGAGGAAATTAGCATTGACATCAATGCTTTATCATGACGAAACCACACGGCATGGGTCGGGTTTGGTTGTGGCAAGGCGTCGGCGGCGACAGGGAAGAAAGTCGGGCATGGGTCGCTTTCGTCAACAAACCCCATGAGCCCGTGTCTTTGTAAAAAGGCACCACTTGTGTCCTCCAAAATAAAAAATTCTTATTGGTGAGCTTAATACTGATAAAGTAATGTGTAGTAGAAAGCAAATTAACAACTATAGAAATAAAGGAGGTAACATCAGCATAAAAAACGGTCCTTTCCAAAGAATTAACAGATCTGTCAGCCATGGGAACGAGAGAAACCCAAACTAGCTGATACCAAATGAAAATTGTATGAATTGTATTAGAAAACTGATGGAATATATATCAGAGAGAATCATAAGGAGACTAGGATAGAGAGTCTTAGTGTGACTCAAATACCATAAAGTCCTAATAAGGTGCATAAACTATCTTTTTTTATTTTTTTTAAATAATTAATCTATCATTTTTAAGCAATTTTTTTTCTTTTTTCTTTTCCTCCCCTTTTCTCACTCATCCTCCCTTTTAGGTGGCTTGAAAAAAACCTCATTGATAAAAATGCTCTTAGTATCGAGTGTCACCCACCACGACTCCTGAACTTAGAAAAATAAAATTGTACCTTGCAGTTCAATAGGCAGTATTTGAGAGAAGAGACAAATGTTCAAAATTTGATAATAATAGTGTGTAAATTATATCTAAAGTGGACAAATCCCTTGTGCACATCGATATTTAGCCCTATTTGCTAAGCTACTATGTTACTGTGATTTATTTGTATATTTTGTCGGACTAAAATATGAAGAACTATTGAGTTTGAAGATTCAACTCTTAGGAGAAGAAAATAAAATTGTATTATTTTCCATAAATCTTTTACCGATAAAAATTATCATAATTCCAATTTTAAACGCACTATATATAATATATTCATTTGGCATTCCCAAATCGGACACACCGGCGAATCGTCGACAATACTCATCATCTCTTCACGCAGCTATCGTGATTCCACAAAACCACCCGCCGATTGCGAAATCTTCCTCTGCTTTAACCCAACCAGATTCTTGGTTGTTCTTCACTTCAAACTGTTACTTAGACATGGAAGTTGGATACAGAGCTCAGATATATCACGAGAGACAGAGATTACAGTTCTGCCTCTTACACTCCCTCAACAATCTCTTTCAGGTACATTGTTAATCCTCCCGCTTCTTCTTTACTTCCCTTCTAATTTTCATATTTCAAAACTTCAAGTTGTATAAATTCCCCAATTCTGCAAAACTTGGAGTAATTCCTTATCTTTGAAAAAAAATCCCCTTTCTTTGATTACCTAGATAGAAGGGACTTTTTAGTTATTGAAATCTTTTGTTGTAATCTTGGATTCTTGATTATGCAGACTAAAACTAGTAATGCGTAGAAGAAGAAAAGTTAAAAAAAAAAAAAATTCAGTAGAAAGATTTTGAATTCTTGATTTTGCAGACTAAAACTAGTAATGCGTAGAAGAAGAAAAGTTAAAAAATATTCAGTAGAAAGATTTTTGAATTCTTGATTATGCAGACTAAAACTAGTGGTGCATAGAAAAAAAAAAAGTTTAAAAATATTCAGTAGAAAGATTTTGAATTCTTGATTATGCAGACTAAAACCATTTTCTCTTTCAGCCCCCACCCCTTTCCTTCTTTTTTTATCATATTATGTAATGATGACAATCTGGGTATAAGAATGGGATTTTTTTTAACATTGAATTTCTGGTTTAATTCAGGAGAAAGATGCATTTACGAGAGCTTATTTGAATGCCATTTCTGAAAGACTTGATCTTGATGATCCAAACAAGGGAAGATGGTCTCCGGTTATTTTTAAGTCTCATCACAACGTTTTCACTGGGAATTATGACATAAATGTTTTACTTGCTGCTCTTGAAGGAAAAGGGAAAGCTGTAGTTTGGCATGATCGGCGAAATGGGGCTTCTGCTATTGACCTTAATGGGGATAGTGATAAGTTGATGGGTATCATACTTAATATACCTGTCAGAAGGTGTGCTGGCCTATTTAAAAGTAGGCATTGGGTTGCATTAAGAAGCATTGAGGGCGTTTGGTATAATTTGGACAGTGAATTTGCTACTCCTTATGCTTTTAAAGATATAGATGAAGTTAGGGACTTTTTGGATGGTATAATTGCTGCTGGTGCTGAAATTTTTCTGGTTAATAATGAAGCACAGTGAATCTATACTTACCTTTTTCAAATTGTGGGTGCAAGTCCATGGACATTTTGAAGATTTGGATTGGGAAAGGTGCCATTACGATGACTTTAGTTTCTAAAACTTGTCCCCTTTTTCATGGCTCAAGTTAAATGTTAGCGTTTGTAACATGTGCTCAAAATGTTACTGAGGTCGTGATATGTGAAATTTCCAGTCTCGTTTCAAAGATCAACTCGTCAGTGCAGTGGTTTAGAGATGTATATGTAGCGGTCCGGAAAGTTAGGCCTTCTGCCTCTGCATGTTCTATCTCAATGTTGATCGTTCATTCTTGAATGATTGTTGTTGTCGCTAAATCACACTTGTACAGTTGTACATTTCCAAATTTTGCTTACTCTTGTTGTACATTTGTCAAACTCAATCGTTACTTACAGCATGTTGGCAATTGAAGCTTGTTCTTCCTGTTGATATCTGCTGATTCTTTGGATGTGGTCTATTTCATCATTGCACTTTTCTTAATGCCATAATTTTCAGATTTCAGATGGAAAGCAGATAGTTTTGCTTATTATATCTATAAATCTGCAATCATTATCCTGGATGGAATCTTCATGATGGAAACATCACTAGCTTCGAAAGTTGGCTGGTTAGGTACTAGGTTTTATCTTTGAATGTTGTTGTGGTGAAGATGCGAGAAGTTTTATATTCTGAATGTACAGTTTGAAATGAAGGAGTGCATGAACATAGAGAAAGCCCGGGCTTTCGGACCCCTCTGGTTTTGGCTATCCCTTTTACCCTTTCTCTCTATTTGGTTTTGAAATTTGTATGAGAATATATAGCAGATTGGCACTATCTGAGATTGGGGTTTTAATTTGTTTATTCAAATTTGAAGTACTTTCTCTCCCACTTTTCCTTGTTTATTTGCTTTGTTTTTTCAAAGGTTTCCAGCACTAATGTTTTCTATGTTTCAGTTGATATATATATATGTATATTTGCAAATGCTGAAGCATTTGAGTTGTTCACATTAAAGGTTACCTTTGTACTCCATTGTGTCTTCCACTTTATCCCCCCCCCCCCCCCACCCCCCATCCCCACCCCACCTACCCCAGCCAGCCGTGTGAGCCAATTATTCCTTCATTTTCTTTCTACCTTCTTATTGCTGCACATCATCATGTATCATATGATAAGCTTAATTTATTGCATATCATGTTTCATATGATGACCTTATCATATCTTTTACTAGTAGGGATATGATGTCAGGGGCAACAATCCGGATAGTTGACTTGGTGATTACAATGTTTTAAGTTTGAGTTTTGATTTACCTCATTGTAGTTCTTTGTCGGCTTTGTGATCAAAGCAAAGCGGGTATCACTTCAAAACATTAAACTATCACTTTTAACAAAGTGTATAGCATGCCAATGTCTTGTAGTCTAGTGGTACGACGTGACTCCTGGGTAAACACTGTTTTCATATCTAAATAGAGACAATTTACACTAAGAAGACCTGTGTGACGGGTTCGACCAAGAAGATGTTGACAGTAATCGAACTTATTATCTTTAATTATGGGAATCATGTTCAATTTCACCGACCAGGCCAGCCACTCCTTTCGGGTCTGTGAAACTGATTTTGTATGATATGTTAGTGTCCTAGTGATATGTACTAGTCTTGGGCAAGGCTGATACACATTAAGGTTGTGTGCCCACATTTAAATTTCAGCTTTATTAAGATATGTAGACAGAACATTAGAGCGCAGCTGGTCATGTGGTCATGTGTATATGCAGTTGTCATGTTAGGATATATAGAAGCACCCATTAACTCTTATTATGTCTTTTTAAGGGTTTGCGCTCCAAACTTGAAAGTCTCGGTACTTTTCACCTTAAACTCCTAAAATCTTGACGGATAAATAGAGAAGGGAATCATAAAATATGTCTTAACAATTTTAAATTTCTCAAGTACTTGTACACAAGTATTAATAATATAATAAGACAAATACATATCAGCCGGTCCTTTGTTCTCCCCTTATCTAGACTTATGATGAAAAAATAATTGTACGGTATGTCTTAACAATCTCAAGTTTTCAAAAATACTTATACACAGTCCCCACAACAAGATCGACAAACCTATATGCTGCCACCCTTCTAGTTTCCCCTTACCCTAAAATCTTGATGTAAAAGTAAATTACAAAATGTGTCTTAAAATCTCAAGTTTCTCAAAGTGTCCTGTTTAACTTGTACACTACTGCCCACAATGAAACAAATCCATATTGCCAATGGGGTCCTTCCCATATTCTAGAGCCTTGTTGATCGGAAAAGTAAATCTCAAAATGTATCTTAACAATAATATAGATTTTTCAAGTTTATATACTACTACTCATTACAGGACAAATTCATACCGTTTCTCTTATAAAATTATTCTACTGAACACTGAGACAAATTATATATATGATTTTAAAAGTCGTCAAGATGATTTATTATTAAATATCATATGAGAGAGCCTTTACACTACACAATATTAAAATTATCAGTAATTAAGGTGGTTGGTATAAGATGAGAAGAGAATTGTTGTCATGCTCTACTATAAATTCCATTTCTATTTAAGCACACCACTGCACAGCACCTCCATCCCCACAACTCAATCACTCGCATCACTGTTTTAATTCTGTCATCTCTCTCTCTCTCGCTCCCAATGTCGGCCAGAGGCGGCGAAATAGGAACAGGTACGAGGAGACCATCCGACCACAAGAGAAGAACATCGTCGACATCTGTGCTTCAAAAACAAAATTCCAGCAAGAGTAGAGCAACAACCGACGGTAATAGCAGCAAACCCACCAAGTGCGCAACATATACATGCAGTTTCAAGAGATCATCACAGTTATCTTCGTCGTCTGCAATCAGATACCTCAAACTTCTCGGTGGAAAGATGGTGGCAGCTCTCCGAATGATGTCGCCCAAGAGAAGCCGGAAAGTTACCTCCTCAGAAACCACGCCCAAGCCGCCGGCGCTTGATTCCCACAGAGCTGAGGCCATCCACGACTGCATCCAGTTCATCAACGACTCTTCTTCCTTGCCTAGATCCAATTCTGTCTCGTGCCAAGGTTAGTAGTGATCAGAAAAACTCACAATCATTTCGGAAGGTGTGCACGGGATAAACTTTTCTTGTAAAGATTAGTAAATCTTTATTTTTACAATATGATCTGCACTACATGTAACCAAGAATATATATATATATATATAGTTATTATCATTTGAGATCCTCCGAGTATAGTGGTTTTGCCACGTTTAGTGCTAAACTTTCAAATTGACCATTTGTGGTCCTTCGACTTTCAAATTTAACTATTTGTGGTCCATGTTAACCACCCATGGTCCTTCAACTTTCAAAATTTAACCACCCGTGGTCCTCTTGAAAGGACCATAATTGGTTAAATTTCAAAAATTAGAGGATCATGGGTGGTTAACTTGGACCACGAATGGTTAAATTTGAAAGTAGAAGGATCACAAATGGTCATTTTAAAAGTTTAGGACTAAACGTGACAAAACCACTATACTCGGAGGACTTCAAATGGTAATAACTCTATATATATATATATATATATATAACGTACGTAATTAGTGATGCTCTTTTTGGGGGTGTGGTTGTTGTAATAAATCATTATTGTTTGATGATTTCTCTATTCATGTTTATAATTTTCACTTTTCCCATGTTCCACGTACCCTCATATTTTCCTTGCATTTTTTGTATAGTCGTGAGCTATTGATATGTATTTTTTTTTTGAGTGACGAATGAAACATGTAATCAGTGTTTAAAACTATATATTGTGGTGCTACAACAACCAGCAAGGTTAAACTATAATAATTTATAAGGCTTTCCAATGATTAATAGAAATATGGTCCACAAATTTAATTATGTTTTCTGCCACCAACACCTACCAAGCTTTGTATATTGCAATCCTGCATCATCAATGTTTTGTTCAATTGGCATGTAAATTTGTTACTACTTGGGCAGTTGGGCTACATACATTTAGTGTTATTTTCTTTTGCTTTAGTCGGATGGATGAAAAAAGGCGTGACTAGAGTATATATACATATACTCTAAAAATGTAGCTAGATATTATTTTATGAGAAAAGTGTGATTTTAGTATTCTCCAAGACTCCAACCTTTACTTATTCAATCATAATATGATAATCAATGACTAAAATAACCGAACATTAAGGTAGAACAAAAACCCGAGATCTGGTTTAGTGAAAGGAACTCATTTATCTTTAATTGAAGGTCAATAGTAACTCTCCAGAGTGTCTACAATCCGACGGTCAAAATCCTGAGTGTATTCAAAAAAAAAAAAAAAAAAAAAAGTGGAACTGAATGGTCAAAATCACACTTTAATTTTTTTCCTCGATCTTCATCACCTATATATCCTGTAAGAATTACAGCTGTCTATATATATATAGGAGGTTGTCAATTTGAAACAGTTGGTTAACAGTAACAAATCTTGAAGTGTTTGACCAAGCACATGGCTGTGTTTCCAAATGTGGAGAAGAAGCATGCATGGTCGATCTAATCTTCATGGCCGTATTATAGTGTAGGCAGTAGAAGTAGGGTGGGTGGGCTTTGGGCATGCAGGCAGGGGAACCCGTTTCCGCCGGCTTTAATGCGTCGGTGACCACTCTATGGGCTATCCAGCTATGGCAGCGGCGCCACCCTTCTCATCTGAGTTGACGAAGACGTATGTCGCCCCATCCCTTTACATATCTCATGCTGTGCCACTGAATGCACCATGCGCATGGTGCATACGATGTAAAACAACGTCATTTTGATTAAAAACGCGTGTCCCATTTAAAATAAAAATTCAGGTTCGATTCTCGACAATAACATTATTGTGGATATATAGTTATGAATTTATGGATATTTAATTCATTCATTGTGGATATTTAGTTCATTCATTGTAGATATTTACTTCATTCATTCACTGTGGATATATAGTTATAAATTTATGGATATATAGTTATGAATTTATGGATATTTAGTTCATTCATTATAGATTTTACTTCATTCATTCACTGTGGATTTAGTTCATTCATTGTGGATTTTTACTTCATTCATTCACTGTAGATATATAATTATGAATTTGTGGATATATAGTTATGAATTTATGAATATATAGTTATGAATTTATGGATATATAAAAATGCTATTGTCAAGAATCGAACCTGATTTCTTCTTTTAAGTGAGATGCGCGTTTTTTTAACCAAAACGACGTCGTTTTGCATCGAATGCACCATTCTTATACCATAGATTCGGGTCCACAAAAATGCCCAAATTAGATCGCCAATGCATTTTTCACATTTTAGACCATTATAAACACAAACCATGCCCAATTAGCCACAAAATCGCCTCAAAATACTAAATACCCCAAAAAAAATACGTTGCATTTGACACTTATCATTGTGCGTTTTTAATTTCCCTAATTAATCTTAATGCATTAGATTGGTTCTCATAAACTCATGAAGAGGTTGATTCTAATATGATTTTTAATATATATATATATATATATATATATATATATTGATGGATTTAATTACTCGAGGTCGACTCGAATTACTAAACCCAATAAATAATGGATATGAAAAGGCGATGAATATAGGTCGCGGGGACAACTTTCGTATTGATAGTATTTCGTAGGAGAATTACAAGGAATATTTGATATTTAGACAATGTAATAGATGTCATCAACAAGACAATGATCCCCTTTTTATATTAGCTAACCTCCCAACCGCCCACCCTATTCTCGTGGGACAATTGAATCGCGGTTTGACCGAGTCCACGCGAGGACCCGGGGCAACCTTCTGCCCCTGGGTCGAGGTAGGCCCCAGCCGTGGCCAACGGGGCGAAGTAGACACCTGCCAAGGTCGACCTTGGCCGGGCTGCGGGAGACACCTAGCTGACGCCTTAGTAGGCTCGTGCCGGGGCCGCCCTTGGCCCCTTGCACCACGCCTTCTCGGGTCGACCTTGGTCGGGCCGCGGGAGTCTCCTAGTCGAGGCCTTAGTCGGCCTATGTCGGGGTCGCCCTTGGCCTCTTGCACCACGCCTTCCCAGGTCGACCTTGGTCGGGCCGCGGGAGTCTCCTAGCGAGGCCTTAGTCGGCCCGTGCCGGGGTCGCCCTTAGCCCCTTCACCACACCTTCCCTGGTCGATTTGTCCCGAGCCCGTTCCTAATATATCAATCATATATATATATATATATATATATATATATATATATATATATATACACACACACACTCTATGGTGATCTTCTTTTGAAAAATCAAAACCTATTTTCTTGCATGTATTATTTTCTAAATAATATGGATCATCATCTTTCTAAAAATTTGTACATTGTGATCTCTGGTGCATGTGTATGTGTCTTAGAGTATTCACAATGGTTGAGTTTTTTTGTAATTTTGAGAAGTTTTTGTAAGTGTGATTATGAAAGAAAATATGGGAGGGGAGAGAAAAAAGAGGAAAAAAAATAAAACAAAATTGTTTATGAAAAAAAAACAAACAACCTGTCAGGTGCGCTAGTCAACGCACCTAACGGGCACGTGCCTGTGTTGGCATTTGCTGTGCGCCAAACGCGCACAATAGTCAATTTTTTTTTCAGCTTGGCCTCCATGTTACTGTTCCAAGAATCCAACCCTTGCAGAATACCCCAATCTCTCTCTCTCCTACATTCTCTCTCCAATTTGTAAGTGAATTTTCTACCATTATCTCCCAAATAACCATAAATAAGGATGCTCTTATGTTTTGTGTTATGAAATCTTGTATCTTAAGAGTATGAATTTTATACTTGAAACAAATTAGTAATTATGACTTATGCTATGATTTATATATGTGTTTTGTGTTTTGAAATTCTGTGCCTATAAACACAAATTATGTATTTAAATCAGATTTGAAAAATAAGTAAATATGTAACATATATATGTATTTTTGCATTATGAAATTATGTACCTTACGAGTATGAATTTTGTACTACACTATTTTGATTCAGAGTTCAAAATATTATGTGAACTTTGTTCCATGATATAAATTGCCTTTACATATTTGCCCGTTTTGCATTGCCCAAAATATTATGTGAACTTTGTTCCATGATATAAATTGCCTTTACATATTTGCCCGTTTTGCATTGCCCACGTTCTTGTCCATTCTCCCATTAGTCTTGGAATAGGACAAGACTGCGTATGTTCATGGTGAGCCTTCACAGTATTCATAGCCACCGCCCGATGTAACACGCTCGATCTGCCTGCCCCCTAGGCCCTAGCTAGTGGGTCTCGGTGAGATTCGAATTTAAGTGTCTTTGTGTCTCCATAAGCACAAATCTCTGATTTTAAATGATGTTATTTGTAAGTGTCATTTCGTGGACTATTAGTACTTGTTAAATGAATTGATTCTATTCTAAATTAAAGGTAACACTTGTGTGAGACTATTTTATGAGTGTAGATTACGCTATGGAAAAGTGTTTATTATATGCATAGTGAACATAGGGGTAAATTCATAATTTTTATGCTGTAGATTCATAATTTATTGTCATTTGTTGTTAAAGACGTTTCTCTCTTCGCAATCGCATTATTTCATCTTCGCAGTACAGATATTATGAATCTACAGTACAGAAATTATGAATCTACAATATAGAAATTATGGATCGATCTATCTCATGTTCACCATGCGTATGGTGAGCACGGTTCCACAGCATAACTATTATCTTACGAGTCTCAATTCTTGAGACGAACCGGATCTTTGATTAATTGGATCAAATCTTTGATTAAACTTCATTAATCACATATTCGATCCGTTTCATGAATTAAAACCTATGAGACGGTCTCACACAAATTTTTACCGTAAATTAATTATATATATGAAATTAAGATTTTGAATAGAATTACATTAACATATACTACATTGTAATAGAATTAGCAGCATTAAAAAAAAAAAAAGAAAAAAAAAAAACGTTAATATCAACTTGGGCTGGGGTGGCATTGAATCATGGATACGACAATGCTCATGTGTCCAACTAGACTAGGCCTCATTGCTCAGGACCTAATCTACGACCTAGATAGCTGGATGAAGTCTAAACATTTGTTTACCTCAAAAAATTGTTCACTGTTTTATATTTTCTAATTCTTTAAAAAAAAATTGTTTATTAACACTCATTTTTTAAAAATTATTTTTTAAACTAACGTTATAAAATTAATACAAGTTTAATTTCGAGTGATTTTTAGACCTTATATATATAACATATTTTTAAATATGTTTGGTTTAAATGAAATAAATATAATATTTTCTTTTAAGTGTAATATATATATAGTTTTTACATTTGATATCAATATATAACATAACTAAAAATATTATCTGAACCAATAACATATTAAGTTTAACTAAAATTTAATTTAGATAATATTAATACTTTTTGAAGCTAATATTTAAAATATTTTTGAATATATTCATTTGAATGAAATGTATATATATAATTCTTATTTTGAAATCTAATATGTGCAAAATTTCAATATCCAATATCTACGTTGGGAGCTGTATAGTATGGCAAATTATGTTGTGCATCCGTATGCACTATGCATGGTGCATACGGATGCAAAAACGACGTTGTTTTATTAAAAACGCACGTCTCCCCTTAAAAAAATCAGGTTCGATTCCCAGCAACAACATATGAACTAAAATTCTAGAATCGATCAACTATAATTCCATAATTGATGAACTAAAATTTCACAATCTAATCTATGAACTAAAAATTCCAGAATGAATGAACTAAAATTCCAGAATCTATGAACTAAAATTTCAGAATCGATGAACTACAATTTCAGAATCGATGAACTAAAATTTCAGAATCGATGAACTACAATTTCAGAATCGATGAACTATAATTCCAGAATCAATGAACTAAAATTCCATAATCTATGAACTAAAATTCCAGAATGAATGAACAACATAATGCTGTTGCTGGGAATCGAACCTGAATTTTTTTAAGGGGAGACGCGCGTTTTTAATAAAACGACGTCGTTTTGCATCCGTATGCACCATGCATGGTGCATACGGATGCACAGCATAACTACTCGTATAGTATATATACATAATATTTTTTTTTTAACAATTGGGCCCCCAAAATTTGGGGGCCCTATTGTAAAAAAAAAAAAATTATATACATATATTATATGAGATTATGAGCCTAGAGCAGTATCGCCGTAACCACGCACTCACGCAATAACGAAGGAATCCTTCTATCTATATATTAAAGTCATATAGCCATGGCCAATCAAATTGCAGTATTTTCCCGCCTAAGTAAAACTACACCGTTTTGATCATTTTGTTAAAACCTTCAGATATTTTTTTTTCGCATTTATATCTTGGTTTTAATATATAAATGGATAGAAGGATAACTGATGCACCGTTTTGGATTCCCCAGGTTGTTGGAAGTTGTTCCAAAGAACAATTCAGTCCTAAATTAATTGTAGCAGCACGTTTATTTAATCTATGGCCTGCTGTTTAAAAAAGGGTGTTGCTATTTGCACCACCCATTGACTAAAATGAGGTATAAAGCACTTTGAAAATGTAAAAAGGTAGTAAATATGGGTGGTGCAAATAGCCTAATGGGTGGTCAAAATGCTATTTGCACCACCCTATTAAATTTACAATTATGAGGTCAAAATGTAATTTAAAAAAAAAAAAAAAAAAAAAAAAAAAAACGGAGCAGCCAGCAGCCATTTTTTTTTTTTCTGCCTCCTTGCCTTCCTGGTCCATTTTTTTTGTTTTTCGATATATGTTTATTTTAAATTTATGATTTCAATAGATAGTTTTTTGAACTTGATAATTTTAATACATATATTTTGTAAATTTACAATTTCAATTCATATTTTTTAGTTAATATTGTTGTTAGTGAAATGAAATTACGTGTAGAATGAATGGCAAGGAATCCAAAAGACTTAAATGGCTCTATATATATGTGGTGTGTGTGTGTGATGTACATGTCATACAATCAAAATCAAAATCAAAATTCGTGTGTGTGTGATGGACGGTTGGATAGATAATTTGTTTAGCTACAACGATCAAAATCAAAGCCAATTTCTTAGTTACAATGGTCCAAATCAAAATCAACAACATTACGAGGTATTTTAATTTTTTTTTTATTCGAATTGTTACTGAAATGTTACAATTGAACTTATGTATATTTGTTCATTGCTTTTATATATTATTTAAAAATTTAAGTTCATTGCTTTCATATATTATTTAGAAATTTAAGTTCATTGCTTTCATATATGTTCATTAATTTCATATATATATATATATATATATATATATATATATATATATATATATATATATATATGTGTGTGAACTTAGTAAATTGAATATTACGTATTATTTATATATTCATTGCTTTTATATATTATTTAGAAATTTAGATATGTATATTTATTTTTGATTAGAAATTCATTGCTTTAATATATCAATATTGAATATATTATTTTGTCTTTATATATTAAGAGTTGTTATTTGTTTGTTTGTTTAGGACGAAAATGCAATCGAAATTTATGATGACAATAGAACTAAAGATGATGATCAAGTGAACCTAAATCTCGAGGTTGCATGCGAATTGTCTACAGAAACGGTAAACAAAATTCATACGCATACTTATTATTATTGTAAGCATGTAATTATTAATATTATTATTATTATTATTATTATTATTATTAATTAGTACGTATACTTAATTTCTGTTTTTGTTTTTGTTTGTTTGTTTTTTTTTTAATTTGTTGGTATACATGCATGTAATTATTATTATGATTATTAATTAGTACGTATACTTATGATTATAATTAATTAATTAGGTATTTTTATTATTGATACAAATAATTTTTTTATTAGGCATTCATGTCTCGCGAAGATTTAATTGAATGGGTTCAAAGTAGAGGTCGGGATCTCGGTTATGTTATTGTGATTAAAAGGTCCCGGAATAAAAGTCCTACAGTTATATTTCAGTGTGACCGTGGTGGTACTTACGTGCCAAAAAAATCTCATCTAAAAACACGGGTACAAGAAAAATTGATTGTCCATTCCAATTGGAGGGGAAATACATACGTGTTGATGGTTGCTGGAGGGTTAGGGTAATATGCGGAGTCCATAATCATGAGCCTGCATTGCACCTTGAAGGTCACCCTTATGCAAGGCGATTATCAGGAAATGAAGTCGAATTGGTGGAAAATTTGTCAGCGATGCATGTGAAACCACGAGATATTTTAACGTCGGTGAAGATGCAAAATCCGGATAATGTTTCCATCACAAAAACCATATACAATGCACGCCAAAAATTCCGGATGATGGATAATGCAGGTAAAACTCAAATGCAAGTTGTTATGTCTTTTTTACATAACAATGGTTATGTGCATGAGAGTCGAACTAATAATGCAACAGATGAGTTAGAAGATTTATTCTTCGTTCATCCTAAATCTATGGAGAAGTGGCGTGCATTTCCACATGTCCTGTTGATAGATGCAACCTATAAGACAAATAGGTACTCGATGCCTCTCGTCGAAATGGTTGGTGTAACTTCGACCAACATGACATTTTGCATAGCGTTCGCCTTCATGCACAAAGAGAATGAGTCCAATTATACTTGGGCATTAAATTGTCTCAAAGCCACAATTGAGGGATGCATTACCCCGCGTGTTATCGTCACGGATCGAGAGTTGGCATTGATGAAAGCATGTAAAAATGTGTATCCGGATGCTAAAGGATTACTTTGTAGATGGCACATCTATAGAAGTATTTTGAGAAAGTGCAGGGCATCGATCCCCTCAAACCATCATTGGGATTTATTCTACAAATCATGGAACGCATTAGTTGAGTCTTAGACTCATGAATCATATATGTTCCATTTAGCTCAAATACAAGCAGTTTTGGTTGACTTTCCAGGTATTATTCGATGTATATTTTAATATTTTTTTTAACAAGGCATATTTGTTCAACTACTGTAATTATTTCTTCAATTATTCACATTTTCAGGTGTTTTTGGTTATATTGATGATAATTGGCTGCAACCGTATAAAGAAATGTTTGTATCTGTTTGGACTGATCGATATCTCAATTTTGGAAATCACACCACGAACAGAGTTGAGAGTCAGCATGCCAAGTTAAAAAAATACTTGGAGTCATCGCAGTCAGATTTGGAGACATCATTGGTTTATATCGACAGAGTCATTCAGTCACAGGACACATCCATCAAAGCAAGTCTTGAACAAAGCAAAATTTTGATTCGACATCGGTTCAACACGTCACATTTTCAAGAATTGCGAGGATTTGTGTCTATTCATGCACTGAATCTCATTTTTAATGAGTTTGAGAGGTCACGGGCTGGCGGGATTACTTTTGAAAATTGTGGATGTCGATTGCGAACAAGTTGCGGGCTTCCATGTGCACACGAGCAGGTAACATATTTTAACTGTGGTAAGCCTATCCCACTTGATTCGATTGATATCTTTTGGAGGAAGCTCGACTTATCATCTTCCATCTCTCTAACCAATGAAGATTTTGGTGTTGAGCATGAGCTTCATATGTTTAAGGATCAGTTCAAGAAACAATCAAGAACCGGTAAATTCAACATATTGAGAAAGTTGAGGGAGTTGATCGCGCCATCTACAACTTCGATCCGTGAGCCACCCGTGCAAATAAATGTTCGTGGGCGTCCCACTTCAAAAAACAAATCTCTCATAAGAACTCTATCTCTCAGAAAAACTAAAGCCGAGCCAAATAATATTCAATTTCAAGAACAAGCTCGGAATAGTTGTTCAGCTGCACCAACTTCAGGTGATAGACACTTTTACCATCCATATATGCTTCAACTTCCGGTTATATTCCATCCTTTTATCATGCAAGTGCAAGATGTGAAATCTGATGGAAACTGTGGATTTCGAGCCGTAGCTCTCTGTCTCGGTTTTAAGGAGGACGAATGGTTCAAAATTCGATCCAATTTAATCGAAGAACTAGAGTCTCACACAATGGAATATACCGATATGTTTGGAACTCAAGGATGGTATAATGCCTATAACATGTTGAATTTTTTTGCACAAGATCGGTGTGCACCAGTTGAGCACTGGATGACTATGCCGGAGATGGGTGTACTAATTGCTTCCGGATACAATGTGATACTATATGTTTTGAGTATGGCCGGCAGTACAACATATTTACCACTTCGATCTAGCCCACCACCTTGGTACGAGCATGTAGCAATAACCCTTGGTTATGTTAATAATAACCATTATGTCAAGGTAACATTGACAGGAGGGTACCCAATGCCTACAATTGCTCCACAATGGGCTTATTTTAGATATGATTGTGCAAATGCATGGATGACTCCATATATGAATAGGATTGAAAGTTACAATGAGCATGTACGCTCTAATTGTACTCGGGAAATGTTATATTAGATTGAAATTGAATGAATTTATTTTTTATTTTATTTTTATTGTGAAGTTAATATATTTTTACAATTTTTAGCGATTCAAATTTTATTTATTATATCTCTATAAAAAAAGATAAAATAATGAATACAACAAATTTAAGTTATAAAAAATATTAAAATAACAAAATTAATCATTATTTTGAATTTAAAAATTAAACCATAAACAAAAACAAGTATTGAAAATAGAAAGTTAAAAAAATTATATTGAACAAAAAAACAAGTATTGAAAATAAAATTTAAAAACATATGTATTGAAAATAAAAATTTTAAAAATAATTACACAAATAATTAAAAAAAAAAAAAAAGGCGATCATTTTTTTTTTTAATGTTTATTGTTAAAAAATAATAAATAATAAATGTTACCACCTACTTTGACTACATTTATTTGCACCACCTACTTTGGTATTTGCACCATCTATTTGACCTATTAAATAGGTGGGTGCAAATAGTAAATAGGGTGGTGCAAATAGAACTTCCCTTAAAAAATTGAATCTCGATTCGAGAATCGAAACATCATTTAATACTCTAGGAATTAATGTACGTGAAGAACTCTAACACTATCTACCAACTAAAGCCTATATAATACAGAGATAATTAGCGAATACAAACAATAGCAAATTCAGAAATTCCTTTGTGGCTCAGAGTTCTCTTCCAGAATGGGTTTGTAGGTTCTTGCTCGTGATCTATCAACCATAAACTGTAATAGCGCTGTCAAGGCAAGGGTAATCAACCATAAACTGTAATAGCGCTGTCAAGGCAAGGGTAATAGAGAAGGGTAATAGAGAAGTTGTCTTCCATGATGAAGAGGTACATGTCATTTTCTACATTATTCTGCATAGAAAAAAATTGTTTTTTAATGGTCAGTATATACCAAAATTGATATCCAATGCTATGTAAATTGCTTATCTACAGGGCATTCTTATACATGCTCATATACCAAAACCATATGTAGCAAATTTCATGAACAGCAATGTCGTGTTAAGTATGGTTTGAGAGGTGAGTATACATCTCTTTGTACACACTTTGTTTTCTTCACTGCCAATAAGCTGGCTGCAATAGAATAAGCCTTTACTTTTGGAGGTAAAAATTTAGCCACCAGATTTTTTGTTTGATAAAATATGGTTTTAATGAAAAATACCAATGAATTTAAAAGGTTGGTTTACAATTCAGGGTTTCATAAGCGATGAGCCAGACAGTCCAATAGCAACTCTTGGAATGACCAAGAAAGGGAAAGAGAGTGAATTGGTTTTATTATATTCTCTTTGGTAGTATCTTGATTTTCTGTGTAAGTATGAATTTGACTTACATACCTTACATGATATTTACAAGGCATTTCTTTACTGATATGAAAATCATAAATTACCATAGCATGGTGGATGCCTATTGTCCTGAGTTGCTGGATAATCAGCATAAGGACCTAACCTCACAGCTTGAGTCTAACAAATTTGGATGAGGAAAATTTGGATGAGGTAACACATCACATATCATAAGCATGAGGTTTATATACTTGCACATATATCCTGTTTTCTTATTTATAAATTGAATACTATTATGAATATTATTCAATTTATTTGTTTTATTTACAGGATCCTTTTGGCTTAGATGACTTTGGTCATTTTGAGATGACTTTTGTGAGAGATGCTCATCAGGAAATGATGGAATCGGGCTGAAAATGTCTCTAATGGAGGATATCAATGAGTGGAGATCCTAAAAGACTTGAGACTTTAGTTGTTAAGTTGGACAAAATGTAATGCTACTAAGTCTTTCTATGATATGCTTCCTAATGGGGTCAGGTTGTATGTTTTTGTACTTTATGATAATTTTGTAAACTTGGCTTGCTTTTTAAGGTTTCTACTATTGTGCTAAACTATCTAAAACCTTTGCTTGCACAAAAACACAGCAATTGTATGAATCTAAAAAGTTGTAAAAACCAATTTTTGTATAGATTAAAATTTGAAATAACAATTAAAGTGATGTGTGCAAAAGTCTATTTTTTTACGAAAATAAACAAACAAAAATCTAGAACAAAATACATTTTAGGAGAACAATTACAACTACCAACACCGGAACAATTACAACTAAAACTAGGTTTTCGATTAACAAAACTTTTAGTTAATTTCCTGGCAAAATTAGTACAAGAACCATCAAATATAGCTATAATGTTCTGACATAGATAAATTTTTAACCGAACAGAGACTTAGATGAACAATGAACAAAAAATATACCTTTAGTCGAAGACGTAGATTAGGTGATCTACTGTCGTAAGTTAGGGTTTGAAGGAAAGAACTGTGAATAGATTGTATGAATTTTACCATGAACCGACAAATCAATCTCGAAATTGAAGGAAAGAACTGTGAAATCGTAGTATACAATCGCGATTTCACAGTGGGTTTGAACCTGCTCCGGTGTCTCCATACGTTGCTACGGTTGTCTCTATTGATGTTTGAGCCGGAGTAGAGGATCTAGTGTGATTTCTCATATGGTAAATGGTGATGAGAACTACTGGAAATCGCAGAGAGGAAGAGAGCATTAGGAAATGGGGATGGAAATGGATTTTCGTGGTTCAGACGAGTTGGGGGCTTTTTGGGTTATTATTATTATTATTATTATTATTATTATTATTATTATTATTATTATTAGGGAAAATGGTCAAATATGCCCTCAAACTTTAGCTTAAAAGTTAATTAAGACCCTAAACTTTTTAAATGTGCAATTACACCCATCAATAATTCATTTAAGTGCAATGAAGTCCAAAAACAAATTAATGACCTGCTATCACAGGTCATTAAAGTTCAGGCCACCTTGTGGTGAATTTTATGGCAAAAAAAAAAAAAAAAAAAAAGACCTGCGGAATTTCCGATAAAAAAGTGACCGGTGAAATTTTCGACAAATTTGGGTCGGTTGTTGGTCACTTTTTTTTGCCAGAAAATTCGTCGGAAGGTGGCCTGTGGCCTGAACCCTAATGACCTGTGATAGCAGCTCATTAACTTATTTTTAGGCTTCATTGTACCTAAATAAATTGTTGATGGATGTAATTGCACCTTTAAAAAGTTTATGAGCCTAATTGACTTTTTAGCTAAAGTTCGAGGGCTTATTTGACCATTTTACCTTATTATTATTATTATTATTATTATTATTATTATTATTATTATTATTATTATTATGGAAAATTGTGGTAGACAAGTATTATTAAAATTATTAGTATTAATAGGGAAATTTACAGCATTATTGTTATTAACAATGTCAGAAAAGTACAACACCAATGAAAACTTATAGATGAAAAGTGAGCATGTCCAACACTTAACCATGAATTCTGGGCATGCACGTATAACTTATGAACGAAAAGTGCAATTTTCCCTTATTAATATGCTATTATTGTTATATTAGTAATATTATTATTGTTCATATTATTATAGACTATGATTAGTGTTTTGTAGGTTAACAACAAAGGATTAAAAATATTAATTTTTGAAGAAAGTAGCTTAGTTCATTGAATCATAAGCAAGTGAGGCAACAACAAAATGATGAGGTGTTTCAAACCATTCCCGGGTGTAAACAAATCAAATAAAAAAATTTGATTCGTGATTCGAATTCGAATATGTTGATTCGAATTCGAATTCGAATACTTTTTTCGATTCGAATATTTTTCGAATACCAATACGAATTAGAGTGTATTCGATCGAATATATTCGAATATTTTATGTTATTTAAATATAAATTTTTATTACATTTTATCTTAATTTATTAGAATATTTTGTAAAAAATTAAATTAAGCATTTCGAATTCGAATATTCGAGTCGAATCGAATATATTTGAATAAATTGGTCGAATCGAATACGAATCAAATTTTTGTATTCGAATATTATACGAATACGAATATTCGAATATATAGTCGAATTTGAATCGAATACTGAGATATTTGACTCGATTCAATTCGTTTACACCCCTACCACAGATATAGAAACGGCCTCCTGAGCTAACACGTGGACTGCACGATTAATCATTTGTAATTTTATTTTTATTTATAATAAAATTATTAATTTCATAGTCTTACTTTTAATTAAATTTTTATTTCAGTATGTTAGCTATATAATTAAAGTTATTATTTCAAATTTAAATTGAAATTTTAGTATGCTGGAATCTATTTACATTATAAATATTAATATTTTGTATGTGCAATTTTCATAAATATTTTTACATTGTAAGTACATATAAATTATTTGAATTTATATTTTACAAATTCTGTATGGTATTGAATAAGACAATTTTTTATAATATATACCGGTAATATGTTGTGATTAGGGTTAGGGATTCACAAATTATATATTTTTATATATATAATGAGTTGTGTCTAGGGTTAGATATTTGGGTTTTTTTTTGGCTGAATTTTGACAATAAGAATCATGACTTCGATTTTGAGAGTTAAATAAATGCGCTGAATAATATAGTTGATTATTATGTTTAATAAATGAGATGGATTTGACTACATAAATTTACACTAATATGCAATTATTATTTTTATTTTTTAATTTATATTTATATAATTTAGAATTTATGTAATTATTTCATCTAATTTTTTAAGTTTTTTATTTATAATAATTTACAAACTTTGACGTTTGACTTTTTCTTTTAAGAAATCGATATTTAACTATGGTTAGTTTTTGTTTTTGTTTTTGTTTTTTGTTTTTTTATTTTTTGAAAACCAAATCGAAAACATCATTAAATTAAACGTTCAATACAAGAGAGACTTGAATAAAGCCAAATAGAAGAATCAGTTTGAGAAGGGGCAGCCAGCAGCCCCTGCCAAGACATGGGTTAGTAGTTCACATGGACTAAAAATTTCGGTATGTTGTAATCTATTTTGATTATAAATATTAATATTTTTGTATGTGCAATTTCCATAAATATATTTATATTGTAAGTACATTTAAATTATTTCAAAGAAATATTTTTTTCCATTAAATTTTGAGAATAATTGCTTGATTTTATTATTTTATAAATTATTTTTATGTATTTTTAGTCTCATCAACAATAACATTATTTAAATTTTATGTCGTGCATCACATAACAGTACAATTTGAAAGTCGAAAGACCACGGGTCGTCAATTTGAAATTTTAGAACTAAACGTGGCAAAATTATTATACTCGATCACAAATGACCTCGAATGGCCACATATGACATTAACACTTTTTAGTAATTACCCAACTTAAATATTAATTTTTAATTTAATTACAACAATTTATAAAAGAATAAATCTCATATTTGTTTTTTATTTATGATATTTAATAACATAACATGATTTTAATATTTAGTCCGTGCATCGCACGGGTGAACTACTAGTGAAGCATAAACATAATCTTCTATTACTATGATATATTCTGATAATTTAATCCCTAATCTATACTTTCCCTAATCCCCTTTCATATTTCTTAATCTCTATTTCCCTAATCTCTTTTCTTATTCCCTAGTCTCTAGGTTAATAGGTCATAATCAATAGTTCATTACCCTCAAGTTCTTCATCATACATCTGGTAATTATTAATTAAAATTTATTAACTTAATTGTACATATTGTTTGACTTATTTCACAATTATTATTTATTGGCATTGCTTATTGACTTAATAATTTTAAATATTGAATCATATATTCAAGAGTTTGTTTCTTGATAAATTATTTATTGATAGAGATTCTAAACAATTTTTTTTTTGGATTTTATAATTATGTTTTCTAGAAAATATTCTTTTGGGTCTGAGAAGCGTAAAAAGAAAAGAAGAATTGAGCAACTAACTCAATTTCAAAAGGGAACTATTAAAAAATTCATTACAAAAGAATATCAAATAGATGAGAAAAAAAGATTATGCCAATGAAAATTTGTTAGATGCTAACATTCATAAAAAAAAAAAAAAAAAAAAAAAAACAAGGTGATCGTGAGACTAGAAAAAATTTAAATGATAGTATGTGCACAACAATGATAAGTATGGTATCACTGTGACTATGAAAATGATAAGAGTGTTGATGGTTGTTTAGATCGATTGTTAAACCATGGACCAGGGTTCATATTGCATTATAAACCCTGATACAAAAGTTCGGTACCTATAGTTAACAGTTTCTGTACATGTAAACAAATAACTTGATAATTGCTGACACATAATATGATAGCTACATGTACAGAATCTATCAATTGCATGTACATAATTTGTCAACTATAGACACAAAATCTGACTTGATAATTGCTGACACATAATATGATAGCTACAGGTACAGAAACTAACAAATGCAGGTATAAAATGTGTCAACTATAGATATAGAATCTGAATGTTAGTTTTGGACTAGGGTCTAAAACGCAAGGTAGACCCTGGTCCATGGTATAATTTGCCTATTTAGATGATGGTGGTACAATAATAAATCAAATGATTCGTTTTTATTTGACATACTAGTATTTTTTATGCGCGATGCACAAAAAATAGGTGCCAAATATTAATACATTATATTAAAATTTTAAATTTATTTAGATTTTAGATATTTAAATTATTCTAAATAATAATAATAATAATAATAATGTAAATCATTTTTATAAATTTGATATTTATATTTTATGTAAAAATTAACATATAACTCAAATATATAATGTGTATATATTATTATTAATGAAGAAGATAAGAAAATATATTGTGGATGCATGTGCATGGTAATAATAGTGGAAAAGATAACGGAAGTTATAACGGTAGGGGTATGTTTGTCCAAAATATTTTAATGTACAACCTTTATAGCATAATGTAAAAAAAAAAAAAAAAAAAATTAACGAAAAAAACGGATATAAATCAGGGGTATAACTTTCATTCACACTTATTATGTTTTTAGATATGATCCAATAAATTGGAATGCCCTTAATTCTAGATTAATAGATATTCTTTTAAAAAGGGGGTCCAAATTCATATGTCGCACAAGATCTCTATTTTTATTGGAGCGGTCATGCTATGAGGTATTTGGTAAATAGTTGTTAGCTGATTGGTTAGTAGGTTTGACTAGTTGATAGCATTAGCTGATTGTAGAAAGATGTTTGGTAAATTAATTAGTTGTTAGCTGATAGTTAATTACATACAAAATGACTTTATCAAACAGCTGCTTTGAGCAGCTTTTTGAATTCTTAGTATTTTAGAACAATAAGCTATTACAAAAAGTTAATTAATCAAACACTCATATTAATTGTTTAACTAAGTCAAACAATTAAATACTGATTAAACAAATCAAAATTAACTAATAGGCTAACTATTTTACTAAATAGGGCATATGGGTTCTTGTAGTCCTGATCTGAGTTACCAAGAACACTTGTTCATTCTCATTACGCCGAAATTCAATATGCTAGCATGGTGTTATAGGCAATTAATTTACCCTAACAAATAATTATACAATAATCAATATTTTATTACAATTGTATTAGCAATTCACGCGGCTCTATTGCAGTTGTATTAACAATCCACGTATTGGGATGAGGGGGAACACGACAGCAATATTTGACAATTTTAAGGTTGTAATATAAGTGAAATAAGATGGTCTGAAATCATTAAATTTGGAATTAAAATTATAAAGAAAATTACAGAGAGAGCATAAACAAGAAAGACGACAGCGTCTTTTGTTGTCTAATAATGTGGTAATGATTCAGACAAAAAGTAAAAAAATATTACGTACGGGGGAGTAAAAATCTGCGGCAAATTCATTCATCTTTCTTGGCGAAGAGGCCGCCGAAGCCACCAAAGCCGCCGCCGCCGCCATTGGGTTTAGTTTTGGGCGGTGGAACGGCCACGGAGTTCCGGCGACCGCTGACGGTGCCGCCGCCGCTCTTGTCCTCCACTTTTTGCAAGATTGGGTCGGTCTCCAACAGCTGGTCTTCCTTCTGCATCCCTCCCAGAATCCAGTCCAGCAGGCCCTTCTCTTGGCTGCTTCCGCCGGAGCTCTTGGCCGCCGTGGCGGCTGCGCGTACTCTTCTCTGGCCTGCGGCGGCCACCGGAGGAATGAACATGTTTAAAGAAGCCATCTCAGATCAGTGGGCGGTGGTGGTGGTTGGTTGGTGTTGAAGGGCAATTGTTGTATAGAAGAAGATTGCGATGATAATTAAATGGACGTGTTTGTGGCACAAGTTCTCCACAAGTGTCTTATCCTTTCTTTCTTATTTATTTATTTATTTCCCTTTTAGGCCTTTATCTTAATTAATAAAGGCCTTTAGGAGAGCGAAACACTTTTACTTAGATGACACATCTATGGCTCCCCTTGAAGAAAGATCACATGATCAAATTTTGATGGTGAGATATTGACTCTTTGGACTGTAATAATTAGAGAAAGTATAGAACATATACTACATTATAATAGAGTCAATAGTACTAAAAAAAAGGCTTTTAGAAATTAGGGGAGATCGGGAATTCGAACTTACTCTCGTATGGGCAAATCAATCTAGCTAGCACTTTACTTCTTAATTGCGCCCGTCGGGTGCGAACGAGTCTGAGTATGGTACGGGCTTAAATGTGTCTCCTACAGTTGGCAAATTATTTTGTGGACCTGGGTCCGGGTCCAAAAATACATAATTTACATACTGAATACTCACAATTTTTATATACTAAATATTCACAATTTACATATTGAATGTACACAAATTTTATATACTAAATGTTCACAGTTTACATACTGAATGTTTTACAATTTGAATTTTGTACATTCAGTATATAAATTGTGTATTTTGACTCGAGTCTATAGCATAAATATTGCTTACAGTTATGACCAATTCAGGACATCTCATGTACATTCAGTGTGTGTATATATATATATATATATATATATATATATATATATATATATATATATATATATATATATATATATATATATATATATATATATATATGGAAGGAATCAGGTGCATTTGTTGCTTCCCGTGCGGATGTGCGGTGGATTAATGTGCGTGAGGTTTATACTTAATTGCGTGAGAATTGTACTCAATGTGCTTGAGTATTGTGTTTAATGTGCGTGAGATTTGTGCTTAATGTGCGTGCATATTTCGGAATTACGAGCTCAGAAGGAAGCAGAACAGAAACTCACGCACATTAACACCCAAGCTTCTTGTTATTTCTTCCTTCAATTTGGCCATGGATTCTGGATTATCAGCTACCTTCAGTTCAGTTGAATGTTTATATAAATGACGCACGCACAGTAAAATTTTCACAACAGCTAAGTGTGGATTTCTGTTGTATTATTCCCATAATTTTTAACCATCATAGCTCGCCTCCAGATCATCATCATCAGGGAGGGGGCAAATGGCTACTGGGGATGGGGAAGAAGCTGAAATCAATATTTTCTGCTGCATTTTACACATTCACACACATTAAGTACAAATCTCAAGCACATTAAGCACAACACTCACGCACATTGAATACAAATCTCACGCACATTAATCCACCGCACATCCGCACGGGAAGCATTCACCGCACCGGAACCTTTATATATATATATATATATATATATACTTAAAAGGATTTTTTTTTTATTTTTTATAAATTCACACTTATATTTTTATATTTATACTTTTTCTATGTGTTTCATGTGTATTTCCTATTTCTTTTTTTTTTTTTTTTTTTTTTTTTACTTTTTCATTTTTGTACAACTTAACTACAACGATTGAAAGATATGAACTAAAACAACTAAAATCATATACCTAAGAGATTAAAAATACATTTTTTTTTCATTAAGACTTAATGATAGAATCATATTTTATAACGTGATCAATTATGTAATTTAAACTAAATTTGATCGGTGTAGCATTTCTTGAATTAAAGTTGTTATTTTCTTGTGTCACTTGATTTTGTGATGTGAAAAATATATGGATCGGAGGCTCATCTAGCAGGTGTGGTTATAGGCATGACATGTGGCCACAAACACCTAACACAAACAATTGATTTAATTTTCAGAGACATATATGTGATACCTCGTCATGTTTGTTGCATTTTTTGTGGCAATTTATATCCTACACCACGGCGTACATTGCACTATGCGCCCAGATGCAAAACGACGTCGTTTTAATTATTTTTTTTTTTGAAATTTCCCGCCCCAGTGAATGGCAGTAGGCTTTTCTTTAAAAAAAAACCCGCTATTCAAGAATGTACATAATGTTATACTTGAATACACAAAATGTTATACATGAATACACATAATGTTATAACAAAATATACATACTCTTTTTAAAAGATAATACACATAATCTAACATAATACATAATAAACATAAACTTTTAACATAATACACATCAACTCTTAACATAATACACACAAATTTTCTGATTCGGATGTACATAATTGTATAAAAACAATGTACATAATTGTATAAAAAATACACATAACTGTATGAACCAATACACATAACGTTGTGAACGAATACACATAACGTTGTGAACGAATACACATAATCTCAGCAACTTCCTACCGCGCCTCCCAACACGACCCCAAAACGACGTCGTTTTGGGAGGCGCGCGGCGCATAGTGCTATGTGCGCCGTGGTGTAGGATATAACGATTGATTTTTTGTGTGTCGGGCTGAAAAATGGGTTTAGGTAGTCATCCAATCTTTCAATCTACCCAATGGGCCAAAGTCAATTCAGTCTGGCCACGGTTCAGTTCTAATTTTGAACCAGTGATTCATCGGTTTCGATTTTATAAATCAATTGAATTGCTTGTGCAAACCTTTCTTTTCGTTACATTTCTGAAATTCTAAAATTTCTTTATTTACAACGTTCAAAATTAAAAATTCAAAGATCCAAATTCAATGCGTGCGGGCAATAGTGTGTGCATTTCTTATTTTTATGATTAAGAATCATAACTTAACCAGAATTGTTAATATAGTTTGAATCGAATCGTGATGATGTCTAATTCAAATTTCTTCACGACCTTGTTGGGGGATGTGTCAAGATTTGCTCTATATATACCTATCAAACCACAATAGTTTCTGGCCCAAGAGTGTAGGGCTGTGTTTGGTAGGGTTTTGGTTGTCCTACCAAGAATTATATTCTAAAATTAGATGTCCAGAATTTCCAATGAAGTTGGGTTCCCAGCAACCACTGCGCTTTGTACGCAAAGGATGATCTTTAGTCTTCATGGCCCAAGTGCCCAACAATTATTTGCTGACAAATTTTACTGTGTACCATGCTCTATGTAATCAATCTTTATGCCATGGAGCCATATTCACCATCCATGGTGAACACGGTCCTAAACAGTAACAGTCCTATGGTTATGGAGCCGTATTCACCATCCATGGTGAACACGGTCCTAAACGGTAACAGTCCTACGGGCACCGTTATTCTTTCACCAATTTTTTTTTTTTTAATTAACAACGCGACTTTTCTTCTTCATATTCACATTTTGCGGTTTCATTTTCTCTTTGCGCAAGTTTCTTCAACACTCATAAATTATGAATGTGCAGTTATGAAATTATGAATTTTCTTTTATGAGATTACGAATTTTCTGTTATGAAATTATGAATTTTCTGTTATGAGATTATGAATGTACAGAAAATTCATAATTACATAACTATAAATTCTTAATCTCGTAATAGAAAATTCATAATTTAATAAATGTTTTTATTTTATGAGATTATGAACTTTCTGTTATGAGATTATGAATTTTCTGTTATGAGATTATGAATGTATAGAAAATTTATAATTACATAAGTGTAAATTCATAATCTCATAACAGAAAATTCATAATTTAATAAATGTAAATTCATAATCTGAACATAGAATGCAAAACGCCGTTAACAACATATTAACTAAAATTTTTTTTTTCGGTAAAAATGATGCCGTTTTGGACCATGTTCACCAAGAATGGTGAACACGTTTCCACGGCATAATTTGCACTATGTAATAATGTGGTCTATGGAGTAAGTATCATTTTAATTATACTTTAGTTTCATTTGACAATATTGCTCTATTTTTCATTTTCATTTTTCACACACATTAGTTTCGTTATAGCAATATCAAAATATCATTGTAATTCTACTACACTACTGATGGATACCTAATATTTGGGTCCAGTTAGACCGCCTAGCCCCGATTGGCCCAGCTAAATCCAGTCAAAATTAGCTATTTACTACCTTCCCTAAATGCCATTAATCTCCATTTATTACTCATGAGTAACCCCTTACCAATCTTCCGTTGCCAAGACAAAATGCAACCCCCCACTACACATTATCATTCTTAATGACCCATTTAATTGGCTATTATTCACCCATCATTAACCTATTTATTATTCCATTGACTCACCCAACGGCTAGCTCTCACTCTCTAAGCTATAAAATGGTTCAAAGAACAGGAAAGGGGGTCATCCATTCCTACACACTAGAAGACTCCATCACTCTTCCAAATGGGAAGAACTTTCTCATACACTAATGAGACTTTACTCTCAACCACTTTTCCTACACCACTCTCCCAAGAGAAGTCATTTACATACACAAGAGAGACTATTCTTTCATCCACAAGAAGACTACACCACTCTTCATTTCAACAAAAAGGTTTCACCACCCACACTCTCTCACTCTCACAACAAGAAGACTATCACGAAGACTTCATTTTACCACAAAGAAGCATACTCTCTCTTTTGGTACCAAAGAGAGCTTTATTCTTACACAATATTACATGTACAAAATAGCCATACATTATGTACCAATACCTACAAGAAATAGTGAATTTAGGCTTAGCACCGCCCAAAATGGTCCGCGGTTTTCACATTTCGGTTTCCACGTCAAAATCATTGTGTCTAATTTCTTCTAAGTCCATAGCTTTATTTGAATGGTGAATCCACCAACCACGGTTGTGTTGGATCTCCTTGGGCCCAAAACCCCTAAAACCAACAACTACAATTTCATTTGACAATATACAATTATTGTATGAGCTCTGATCTATTTTGTAGTTTTATTTTCCATACACACTAGTTTAATTATAATAATAATAATGTTAAAGTATTATTTTAATTACACTCCACGCTCATTTGACAATATATAT